CTCTTTCTGCAACAACAAAGAAAAGAGAGGAAAACTAAAAAAGAGATACCCAAATGTCATCGCCGTCTCCGCCGCCGGCCTCAGCCGCGCTCCGCCCATGGCCGCTTTTCCTGAACTTCTCAGCCCTAAGCCTCCCGATCTCACTTTCCGAATCCACGTACCGCGTCTCTCAGAATCTCCGATTTTTCCTCCCCAACTACGCCGCCCTCACTATCCTCGTCTTCCTCCTCACGCTCATCACGCGCCCCCTCTCCTTACTACTCTTCGTTAGCATCTTCGCCGCCTGGGTCTACCTGGTTTTCTGGCGCGACGAGCAACTGACGGTCTTCAATTACGACGTCGATCAGAAAATAGTCGTCGGGCTTCTCGCCGTGATTACCGCGATCGCCGTCTTCTGGACCGGAGTTTGGCTGAAGCTGTTGGTGGCTCTGGTCATCGGGGGTTCGATCGTGGTCGTTCATGGGGTTTTGAGGGCGCCGGAGGACTCCATGGAGGATTCACCGTACGGGTCGCTGCTGAATGTCGTGGATAGTCCGAGAGGAGATTATGCCAGTGTTTGATGGAAAATAAACAATTAGGGGTGTTCTGTCTCTGGTAGGGTTTTGGGATTCAATTGGGGGCATTTTGGTGCTGCAACGAGGTCTGTTTTGATTCATTAACTACTTTCGCCATTGTTTTGATTCAAGATTTTACTAGTTTGTTCAGATCTTAATTTCTCTATGATACATTGTGAATTGAGTTTACACTTGATAGCATAAATTGTCTAAAGTGGGTGTAATTTGAATAGAAATGCTGTCATCTTCATCTGAAGTTCCTATAGATGCATCTATGTTTTTTAGTAGTGATTAGTAATGAGAACTTTAACAGTTGCTTTATCAAACTCAACATATATATATCTCTACCAACTAGAGTTGTAAACAAATCGAATCAAAACTTATATTAAGATATTCGATTTGAATTCGATAAAATATTTGGGGATTCGAATTCGATTCATTAACGAATTCATTTTCTGATTCGTAATCGATTCGTTTAGAATATTCGAACATATTTGATTCGATTCGAAATTCGTTTTCAGAAAAATATTATAATTAAAAAAAATTATAATTACAAAAATATTGTTTATGTTTTTCCTATCAAATTTGAGATGTTTTTAGGGCAAATTATTCATTTAGGATGTTTTTACTTTTTATGTCATAAAGATATTAGATATGTAATAATATATATATATAATATATACAAAATTTATTTTTTTATACTATATATAATTTTTAAAATTTATATATTTTTCCTTAACGAATCGAATATCGAATTTTGAATTGAATAACTACAAATTCGAATTCGGATTCGAATATCACGAATATCGAATCGAATAAAAAAAATTCGATTTGTTTACAAGCCTACTACCAACAAAGTGATCTCAAAACATCTTGACACACAAATGGTTCACACAATTTGAGGAAATGCATTATGGTGACAATATACCTTATTGACATATACCTTATTGACAGCCCAGCAGTTGGATTGAATTAAGAGTAAATGAGGTGAAAATTGAAAAAAGTAAAATGTGTACAATCTTGGAAAAATATAATATCCTCATTAATCTATTAAAGAATAACAGATTTTTCTTAATCGATTCGCAATTTTGGCCACCAGTAAAAAGCATGCTATGAGGAATTCTGTCGTTTTTTTGAATGACAAATAGCTGGCCGATGAAGAAATCAAGATCCAACGAGACCTTTGTAGCGAGCATAAGAAATTATAAGTCCAAAGAGTACTGCACAAAAGGCGCCTGCGACGATAACCACCTGGAAGAAAGTAAGTAATCAAACTGATTAGTCAAAATGTACTAAAAGTTAATTTGGCTAGCACGAAATATGACAAAGCAAAAAATGGTGATAAAAGGATCGTAGTAAAATGATGATAAACGGATCGTATTTTTAGCGCTGACCCATTTAAACATGTATCCATGATTGTCATTCCATGTGTACGGAATGTTCATTCCAAAAATTGCAGCCACTAATGAATAAATGGACAAACACACAGTCCCAGAACTGAGAAAGAGCTCTAACTGCATATACAATAATAAGAAAAAGTAACAGACAATGTTAATACAGATATAGACACGATATTAAGCCAACAAGATAGACCAGTGCAGTGAACATACCTGAATCAGTTGATTACGGTGATTGTCAAGCTGAAATACGTTGTCAAATAAATAATTAAATGAAACTTGAAATTGTGCACGGTCACAACGAAAGGAGTACTGAGCAATCAAATCGTCATGTTTAATGATATATACCTGAATGTTGATGTAATCTTCTGTATTATCAATGTACTCCCTCAGCTGCAAATATTAAAGAAGATAAACCCATAAAAAACTTGAGTACTGTAAATAGAAATAATCTCAGAAACATTACAATTATAAATGGTAATGAGGCTGTTCGAAGTCGGGTCAAGCACATCTCGTCTCAGGTGGATCCCAACTCAGTCCCACAGTTGACAGAGCACGGCATGGTTTTTCATGTTGCATGACTGCTATATGTCCAGAATATACAATTTTCGCCAAACATAAATGACTAAAAAATACAAAGGGACAAACAGGATTAAACCATCAAAACTTAAACCTTCACAACTTTCACTATCCAGCAATTTTTCAACTGAATAGAGAAAATCAAAACCATTTAAACAAGCAACAAAATTCCAGCAGTTAAATATACATTCTGATAAGAGAATCTCCCAAATTACGACAATTAACATTTTAACATACCGTGGTCAATTTATTGAGTGTGCCATCAATTTGCATAAAGTAAGCCTGCAACAAAAAAGAGACTGATTAAAACATCTTTCAAAGAAAACTTGCATAATATCATAAACAAGACCAGGGTTTACACCTCAAGAAGCATTTCGAGTTCCTCGACGTCATTCTCATCCCCGCGTACTGTTGCCACACTCGCTCGACTAGCTCTCGATATCTTGGAGCCAATGGTAGGAGAAGCAAGGAACCAACTGGCAGCACCCGAACCACTCAATGGCGATGCACCTGCTAACTTTCTTGACAAGTAAAGGTCCGCCATGTCATCGTCGTCATCCAGAAGCTGCTCCAGCTCGTCTCTCACCTGCATAAAGATAACAAGTTCGAAAACAAATTAGTAACTAGAGAAGTCTCTAACCAACGATGATTACATTTGTTGTATGAAATAAATAGTGAAGAAAATAGAATCAACTTGTTATGATGAATGTTCAGATTATTTTGGAACAGAACCATAGCAATTTTCTTAACTACCTAAGAAAAAAAAGTTTGCTAATGGGAAGTTTTGAAATCAATTAGGCAGGATGCCCACCTTTTGTACGCGAGCAGTCAACCTTGTCATTTGACTCTTCAGTTTACGCACTCGATCCAAATTACGGCTGCTAATCTGTGTCAGTTACAATATAAGACAACATATGACACATCAAGGCTTCAAAACATTTCACCGGAATACATAGAAGCTGGAATGGGAAAATGGAGGCCAATATCCGGCCAAAGATATATACCAGGACACAGTAGAAAAAAAATACAAATTAGAAGTATATTTTACAATGATTCCAATGGATTCAACCTGAAAAGTGATTTAGACTCCATAAGAAATAATAAATTTTATGCCTCGGGACATCATTCTCCTTGAGCGAACTGAACATCAAAAAAGTATGCAGAGACAAAAGTAGCCCCATGATCCAAAAATAATTAGGCCCTCATACGGTTTGGCATAAACTCTATTAGATCATGTGATTATAAACTACATTTGCCAGTGACTAGTTTAAGTTACAACCAAATTAGATATGGAACAGTAGTTTCTATAATTACGTCTATTACTATCAAAGCATCTATAATGTGCTAGCAACTTTATCCAGTATTTGCAATTTCAAAAGGCTAGAACAAGCAGCCTAAGCATGAATATCTTTCTGAAAGTACCGAGTGTAATTATATTTGTGTTTTTCAGTGGTCTACTTTGAGCCTATTACTTAAATTAGCGTGTTCACGTAAACCATGAAAATACAATTAGAACAAGAAAAAATCATCAATAAAAAAGAACCTTCGATGTGAGCATATCCAGAGCTGGATAAACAGCTGTCTCCAGTTCTATCGTGCGGGCAGCCAGGAAACTACAAATGGCTTCCAAAGCTACCTCAAGGGCCCGGAACTCAAATGGTGAATCTGCAATGCTCATGCAGATTAGTAGGGTTTGCATAGGTAGAATTGCCGATTTCTTTTCGCACAAAGTGGTAAAATAAAATGTCAAGTACTCTGTTATCACAGTCAGAAAACACGAGTACAAAATGTTCCATATAACTGGACAAGAAGATATGAGGGATACCATCTTCTTCTGCTGTTTCAACGTCATTTTGCACAGCCAAATTGCCATCTTTACTATCTTCCCGGTTCATGTTCACATCAGCAAAATTGCCGTCTTTACTATCTTCGCGGTTCATGTTCACATTTTTCAGACGCCTACGGAGGTCCTCAACAATAGGAATGACATTATCATCCAATGGGTCACGAAGCCACACCTAACCAATAGGAAAGCAAGGACCAATATCTCTCATTGTTCATCAATATCTGAATCTTAATTTCCTTGTAACATGCTAAGTTCAGTAAAATATGGTGGATAAAACAGAGGCACAAAACACTTTACGAAGAACGAAATGCAAGGTAAAAAAACTCACCTCATCAGCTGTAATAATAGCCTTGATATGCTGTATGCACACAAAGAACAAAAAAAATGGTAAGCTTACCAATTGGCCTAAATGAAAATAACAAAGAATGATCTATATCAATAACCATTGATAATTCAACCATTATTACAGTCTAATCATGCAGGGGAACCATTAAGATTTTCAAAATATACGGAGTTCGAACATGAGAGGGCCTACCCATACCTTTTCCAACACCCAAATACAACTTAGACTGCTAACTAACCAAGAAAACCCCAAAACCCCATAAAGAGGATAAGAAACACCATAGCAATAAATACGAAAACAACTTCGCAAAATCCAAAAAGGGCTTACCTCTAAATTCAATACAATGGCTCTCTCGCGGCCGAGGATAGTGGAAGGATAAGACAAGAGGGGATCGAGTATGCGGAGATCACGCGCGTGTATCTGCACGCGCTGCATGATCACATATTTGTCCACATCCCGCACATTTTCGTGGCCAGAAGAATCCATTAAAATCCAGCTCCTCGACCCGGCGCCCTTCTTCTTCAACCCCGCGACGGCGTTCGGAGCATCCGCCGGCACAACGAAGCCGCCTTCTCGACCCGCCATTCTCAATTACCATCAGAGAAGAAGTCGAGAAGAGAAAAGGGAAAGCAAAAGGCAAAAAATTCCCAGATTCTCTTGATATTCAATGTCCTTTCAAATCGATTGGTATGCATGTACAGCCAGTTCTTTTTGAGAGAGGAACACAAAAGATCTCAGAAAAAGATACACAGTTGGTAATTTGCAGGGATTCACATATTAATATAACTTTTGTGCTGCAATCTGGATGATGGAGGAAGATTTGGGATTTCGGGAATTCAACGCTATTTTTTTCCTGAAAAGTGCGAGGTATTTTAATATAATT